GAGCTTTTTTTTCGATAAAATTATTTGATATTCGAGACTTACTAATTCGACTTATTCAGATTTGTATCGTGTAAGTCCACTTTAAGAGATAAATCGCTCTTCCTATTGGAAGATTCAATATTTTCAAGCTCTAATCGAGACCTTTGATTAAGAGTAAGGGTGCCAAATAGACGAATTACTATAGTTGGGCGACTATGGGTACACAAATAAATGGTTTGGGTTATAACCTACCCAAAGTTCTAGGGTGAAAGATGAGCGAGTAAATTTGAATTACACAATAGATCATAATTCAACTTGCTCAACTTAAAATCATCTTTTATTTGTTTGTTTGTTCTTTTATAATTTGTCTAACTATCAAATGAAACTAATAAGAGCTTTTCCTTTTATTGTTATAATGACTATCAAACAAATCAAACCCCAAAACTTTTCTTCTTATATGTTTATTAAGTTTTTAATGGTTAATTTGGGCTATATATACAACCCAAATTAGCCAAACATTTAAATGGTGTTAACTTGGGTTGTCTCCAAAATGATCTGCTAATGGATAAATGAGTTTAACTCAAGTTACATTTTTATGGGCTAAATTTGACACCAGTAATAAAGAGCGAGGAATTCCGATCATCCCACCAGCATGGTTGACAAGACTTGGAGTCTATTTAGAATGGCTTAAAAAAAAATGGTTTTCAGCAGAAATAGCTTTTAAGCCAAAAAATAATAAGTTATGATTATTTAGCTTCTTGATTTTGGCTTGTTTTAAATATTTTTTTGATTTTGCCAAACATTTAAAAAGGTTAAAAAAACTTAAAACTGATTTGACCGGCTTAAAATCAAATCGAAACGTCCTTTTGCTTTTTATCGACAAGTGATGGTGCCAGCTAATCAGCTACTCAGTTACAATGCGTTTGATACGGGTACGCAATAGTTTCGTTATAATTTGCAATTGCAACAGATCAGCTCATACTAGAATGTTTAGGCTTCTGATTGGTTTTCATACAAATAGACTTAGATAGTAACCAACTAACGAACGAAACGTCAAAAGGCTTTTTAGATAATAACCATCTCGCTAGTTTCTTTTGTGCATTAACATGCAGAAAATTCTTGAAGTCCAAAAATCATCATATATTTTGCAGACAGAAAGATACATTTCATAAGAAGTGANCCCCCCACACACAAGTACACAGAGCAACAAATAAAAGATGCTTTAGAGGTCCCCAGTCTCATTCCCATGTTGATATGCCTATATATGAATATGCAACTAAGTCTTTCAAGAATTTTGTGAATGTCAACTGGGGCATCATCATATCCTTGATTTTAAGTCAATGAGATATTTTCTTGTTAGAAGCGGAGTCAGAATTTGAAGTTTATGAATTCGGGATTATATTTACTGGGTTCTAAATTATTAATTTTTGCATATTTAATGGATTTCTTGAACGGAAGCCTTGGAGAAACGGTTAATTAGTTATTTCTGTGTGATCTATAGGTCACAGGTTCGAACCGTAGAATCAATCACTATTGCTTGCATTAGTGTAAGTTGTCTCAATCACACCTCATGGTGTCCGGCTCTTCCCGAACCCGGTGTGAACGCCAAAATGCTTTGCGAACCGGACTGCATGTGTATTCAGTGAACTTTTTAAGACAAATATAAAATTTGGACCAACATTATTGAATTTGGTCGAATCTCGTAAACCATACTCTAGCTCTGCCCTTGTAATAGTTCTATAGAATCATTTAGAAGCCTTGACATGACCCCCAAATGCAAAACTCAACTACACAAAGAAAATTGAGGTATTGAAAATGAAGGACAGGATAATAATCTAAAAGGTAGAATAATTAGCACAGCGGTTGTACATTGCAACTATTGCATAATGTTTCCTTTTAATTAACAGTTTAAACTTAGTGTTAAACGGGGTACTCACCCAACTTAATACAGTATCAAAGTAGATAATTAAAAGTCCTAGCTAATTCAAGTCTCACCACTTAAGATCAACAAAGTATTTGCACGTGATCGGTTCAATAAAAAATCAAACTCACAAGTGAGAGGACATTTGCCGACCTAAAATCTTTATATGAATAAAATTGTCTCCTCTATAATAATTTAAAGTTGGCATACAACTCAATGACTATAGTCTAACATTCTGTCTGAAATTACATGTGCGCTAAAGTAGGAAAAATATTTTCATGTTAGATACGTTCTACTATAGTATGAAATTGTGTAACAATTTGATCTGCTCCTATAGTTTAATTCTTGTATTGCAATTTAAAGCATAATATGATAACTTTAAGAACCTTCAAACAACAATAATCTTAGAAAGTATTAAAATGCCGAATACATATATTTAATATGGTTTTAGTTTAAAATTCAAGTTTTACTTCAAGAAACACGTAGCTAGATAGTACTTGTCACAAATATATTGACATGTAAATTCAAGACGGAAATACTAGTTTCAAAACCCTATCAGATAAAAAATGGTTGACGCATATAGAATAGCAATATAGCATGGCCACTAACCCAAACATTATGTGGTCGTTTGGTAGCTAGTTAGGAGAAAAGTTATTCATGTATCGGGGACAACATAACCTATGCAATGTTTGGTAGTAATTAGTTATTTTGTACATAATTTATCATAACTAATATCATGTTTGGTTGTCATTTTACAATTCTACATAAATAATACATGTATAAGTTATATATCAATCTGTGTATTATTTTATGCGGGGTAGAAGATGAAATAACTAATACATATATTAGAAATACATGGATAAAATATTGAAATGACAAATTTACCCCTATCATTTTACACATAAAGGCTTCCTTCTGTAGATTGATTTGTATCAAACCCTTTGGAGAACAAGCATGGAGATACTGATGCCTCACTGCTAGGCTCTTCCTCTTCTCAATCTATTATAGACAAAATCAGTAAATAAGTATTTTACTTTAAAATTTATATAATGTATATCAATTTCTAATACAACAAACCAAATATTAAAAAAAAATCCTTACGTAACTAATCCATATATAACTAATGGTATCTACCTAACTAATCCTTGCATTACTTATTCGAATACATGTATAACTAATATATATATAACTTTAACCGGCAATCAAACAAACCTATTTATTTGTCAGTGCAGTTTGAGTATGAGGCAAAAAAGGTTTGAATCGAAAGAAAGTGACATCTAACCATGTCACTAGTCAATTCAGCCATTTTTGGGAAACGGGTTGCATGTGGGAAGTCCTTTATTAATGACACTAAATAAAAGATTAAGCATCCAATTTGGAAGTTTGAACCATATGATGTCTCTGTAATGATGATTAATAGCCTAGACATTATCATCCCTAACCTATTACATTAAAAATAATGATTGAGATCGTATATTGCCTGTCACATGGCTAGAGATTAAAAATTGTGATTTGATTTATCCTTTACAAAAATTATCCCTTTTTTTGAAGCTTAGGACTGAAGTGGTGGGGTCTTATTGCATCTATTTTCAAGATGCAAGTTGGGTAGGAATTGATGTCTCTCGAAGGCATATTATTGTTGAATTAGGCGAAATTATAATTTAAATTTTATGGGTCTAGAATTATAATTATTTTAAGTTATTAGGTTTTAAATTAATAATTTATATATATTTATTGAATTTTTTTATATAATTATAGTGTTTGAACAAAAGTTAATAGGTTGAGCCAAACCCGCAACCAACATTGTAGCTCCGCCCCTGATTGTTGAGAAGTACTGCAAAGAGATTCATAGGACCACAGTATATATCACAAGTTCACAACTAACAAACCCCACCCCAAAAGAAATTGAGAAAAGAAAAGAAAAAAGTACATTAATCAAGCTAGAGCTTCGTAGTTTGACCATATTGTTAATAGAGCACTAACTATAACTAATTATAATCAACTTGCGTTAAATGTACTTTGAAAGAGCTTGGCTCACATGGTTAACGCTGTCTTATGAAGTTTTGTTGAGCTATATGATATCTTACTTTAGGTTACAAAAATCTGGTGTTATTCTACCTACCGTTTTAAAAAATTTGGTTGATTTGCTCTGATTTAAAGACTAGCATGNTATATGTATGTATATATTTATTTATTTATTTATTTTTCTCTATTACATGGGAGATTGCGGAAAGAAAAGGGGAAAGGTAGTAATGGAATTCGAACTCACACTTATAGCCTGTTTGGCAACCTTCTAAAATAGTTTATTTTGAGAAGTTTTTAGTACTTTCGGTGAGAATCAGTTTGTAAACGGCTAATTCATTTAAAATGCATTTTTGAGTGGCAATTAGTGTTTGGCCAAACTTTTAAAAAGTGCTTTTAAGTGTAGTTTTTTCAGGAAAAAACTATTTTTTTTCTGCTTCTCCAAAACGGTTTCTTCTTATACTCAAAAACACTTTTTTTTCCATCTAAAAGCTTGATCAAACACTTCAACTTTTAAAAGAAAATAGTTTTTTGAAAAAAAATTCTTTTGACCTTGTAAAAGCTTGGCCAACAAGCTATAATAGTCAATCGAATATTTCAACTGATATCACTAGACAATGAACTTTGGTGGTAATAATTTTGTATATGCCTTGTATATAATTCAACTCCATAAAATAGAGTTTTAAGTAATAAATATTAACTGTGTAAAAAATATTTACACAGTAGTATTCTACCCCATCTCATTGACATTGATCCACGCACCATTTGGCCAAACGCAACATGATCAAATCAAGATTGTAATGACCCCATTTGGAGAAGTCTCTTTCTCTCCTTTTTCTTCGCTCTACATCCTACAATAACAATACATATCTTTGAGGGATAGTGTTAGTGCAGAAGCATGTAGACCAACGTATATTCTCTATACATAATTTGGGATTGTAAAAGAAATTAAATTACCAAGTCAACGACTCTCAGAAAAAATGATGACATCAGCTTCCACGTCACTCTCCAAATTGTCCATTTCCTTTTAAGAAGGTATGCACACACCAATTGTCTTCTCATACATTCTCAATCTCAACTTAAGCTTCACTCACTTCCACACTTTTATTTACTTTCTTTCTTCAAAATCTCAAAAACCCTCTACCCAAAAAAAAGAAGAAAAAAACATCTACACTATGTACGGATACAACAATCATATGGAAAACAATTCTAGTTATGTGTATACACATTTTCCAACTTCACAAACTCTGCCAATGGTCTCTTTACCACCACCTTTGGCCATTCCCTCAGTGAATAATATTGAATATGACTCATTATCCCCATTGAAGTCAGAGGTTGGTTATAACAGTAGTAGTTGCAGTAGCTATGGTTCTCCTAGTTCAGTTACAAGTTATGGAACATATGATCCAAGTAATTTGATTCAAAGAAGCATAAGCAGTCACTCACTTCTCAAGAATAATATGGAGGGCTTTTGTCCACTTGTTTCTTCCCCAACTGGTTTTCTTGACTCAGAAACTAGTTCTGTGAGAAAAGTTTTAAGCACCGGCGATTTGCAGGTGAACTACACTTAACGAATTAATTTAACTTATATACATTAACAGCGTATTTTAACCGTTAACATGTATTTTTTAGGTTGACAAATAAGGATTACTATAGACAGTTACTTGTTGTTGTAGATCATAATTTAAGATGGCGTACAAATATTATACATTTGTTAATGCACAGAAGTCAAACTCTTATAATACATAATCTAAACTCATTTATATATCTTATAGGAATTTTATTTATAAATATAATTTACATACACTTACAATGTAAACAATTTCTTACACTTTTAGTGTATTTAAATATTGTAACAGCTAATCCACCTTATTTTTCAGGTTACTAATTATATTTTTTCTGGACAGTTACCTATAGTAATCACCTATGAAATTTGTTTCTCTTAACATGCCATTACATATGTAACAGGTAATGCACCTATTGCAACATAATCAGAGGTCAGAAAGCAGTTTATCCAGTGAGAGTAACAGCATAATTGAAGGAATGAATAAAGCTTGCAGATACAGTCCCGAAGAGAAGAAAGAACGGATTGAGAGATACAGAAGCAAGCGAAATCAAAGGAATTTTAATAAAAAGATTAAGGTAACGACGTTGATGACATATTTTCACCATGTACCGACTCTTAAAAAAAAAAAAAAAAAAAATTGGCTTTTTCGATGTTCACTTAATTTAGCCGATAATTATAAATATTTTGTTATAATAATAATAAAATACGGATTAAGACTCATCAGATGATGACACGAAGTAGTATTATTTCTGGGTAGTATATTTAAAGTCAGCGCCATAAACTATTTATATTTGATAGCCGAAAAATGTATAAAATTTGTATAATTTTTGTGTATAACATGTAAAATGTATATACAAAAAAGAATATATACTTTTCGACTATTATTTTGAGAGCGTGTTATGCAACTACATTTTTTCTATATTTATTATATTTAATATTTAAATATATGCATGGCACGTACCATGTGCATACAAGACTTGTGATATGTCCTTTAAGTGTTAATGCTCTTTAGGGACCACAATAAGGACTTCCAAAATGATAAAAATTAATCTTTTGCACTCATACTTTCTATATTGGGTTATCTTGGTTTCTACTAAATCTCACATCAATTTTTTTGTCGTCAAATATCAGTATGAGTGCAGGAAAACTTTAGCAGATAGCAGACCTCGCATAAGAGGAAGGTTTGCAAGAAATGATGAAATAATTGAGAGGACTCCTCAGAACGAATATTGGACTCAATCAAGGTTAGAAGAAGGCGAAGAGGAAGATGAGAATTGGATTGGATTTCTTGATGCTTTTTCAGCAAACCTTATTCCATAATCATATTTATTTAAATTAAGGGGAGAAAACAAATTAAAAGAGTTCCTCAAGTTTTAATGTTCAGGAACTCTTTTCATTGTGTGGCAGTTATTGTTTTTCTAGTTTTAGTGATGTTTAATCAAGAATCCCTTTTAAGATTGGTGATATTATGTACATTTGGCTTATTGCATAATGATTAAAAAAAATGTCATTTGAAGCTTCTGTTTGCAAGTCTTATAGTTACATATTTTACGGGTCAATGAAAGACTTATTAATTTTTATTATTTAAAAAAAAATTATTTTATTTTATTTGCTGAAGGACTTATTAGAGTGGAGTAGTGGACCATGGGATTCTTTTACTTGTTGGGAGTTGGGATCGAGTAGGTTCGTGAATAATGCGGATTAGAAGATAAAAAGGGAGAAAACATTTTTCATAAGATGAAAAATATACATTAGCGTGATGCAAAGTGAAATTAAAACTACTAAATGGTATATTTGTTTAACACTTAAAATTAACTTTGTATTTTGTCTTAATCTCTGCTATGGTAATAGATAAATTTCTTACCACAAGAACTTTCATAATCCATACCAATGACAGCATGTGTTGACATGCCACAGTCTATTCCCACTTGCAAAAATAACATGTCCTAGCTAAATATTCATATAAAACGTTATACAGTTTTTATTTAACTCCACCTCAACGTTTTGGGAAAAGTTACTTGAGTTTGTCCGACCATTCTTAAACTTCTAAATTTTGTCAGTCCAAATTCTAATTACCACTTCTAATGAAATTGTTTGGATAAGGAAGATTTCAAGGTGTTAAGAAAATTAAGAGCGATAGTTATAGCCACAAGAGTGACAGCTAAATAAACCTCTTGCTTCAATGGATAGCACTATTCAATTAATGGTGTCAAGAAATATTCATCCTTGGTGCTTATTGCCTAAATAACATTTGGCTATCACTTTCGAGGCAGACAATTGTATGTAAATTTCTCTTATAAGCATTAATCGATAACATGATTATTGCGGAAAGTAAGTTTTGATTGTCAATACATGATAACATAGTAGCAACTATATCCTATGGACTAGACAGTGGCAAAACACAACGTAACACGTTTATCTACTTCAATAACTCAAATCTGGTCAAAACATTATTAACCAAAAAATGACTTGACTATTGTTGATTTGGATGTTTCGAACGAGTTTATCATCAAAGGGTGTTGAAAGCGATTTGGCAAACAAAAGCTTAGTGCTCCTTTCATCTCATCTTAACCAACATTGCTTATTATTCTAGAGTCAACTAACTAGTTTACATATTAATCGGGCATTAATTAGTACTGTATTATTTATCACAATAAATTCATAAATTGTAGGCAGATGTAGCCTTCACCAGCAGATGCAGGCATATTATATTTATATTATGTTTCTACTCATTCATGGACGGAGCTACAACCGCAAAAGATGGTCAATTAAACACTCTTGGTAGAAAAATTATACTGTAATATATGTCAAATATTACATACTTCATCCGTTTTAATTTAGATGAGCTAGTTTGACTCGGCACGAAGTTTAAGAAAAAAGAAAACTTTTGAAACTTGTAGTCTTAAAAACTTAAAAAGGTAAAAAATTTGTGGGGCAATGACATTTTTGTGGTTATAAATGTTTCTCATTAAGGGTAAAATAGATAAAATGAAGAGTTTAAAATTAAATTATTTTCAAATTTAGAAATATGTCATTTATTTTGGAACAGACTAAAAAGGAAAGTATATCTTGAACATTCTTATTGAATTTCTTGGTTTGGCACTCATTATTAGAAAAGAGTAATTAGTGCATTAGTCATCCTATTGATTCAAAATCCCAAATCAACTTCTACAAGAGGTAAGTATTGAAGACATGACTAAGAACAACTTAAGTAAGACAATCGAAAAGATTTGTGGCCAACTGACTGCAATATTATTAATGCATGTTCCGTACTATGCAGTATTCAGGTTAAAAAAAATTAGTAACTGAAATACAATCAGCAACATGATCACTAATTCTCTATGTTTCTTTAAGACCAAGAAACTCCACTTCTTTTTTTTTAATTTTAAATACAAAAGCCCTAAAAATGTACCCCCCCCCCCCCCCCCCCC